CTTATTGGATCAGTTATGAGCATTTTTGTTTTCTTCATTGGTGAGTTATAATCGATACTGAAGTCTAGTTTTTAATTTCATCAGTAAATGGTTCAAGTTTTCTTCTCTTTGAGCAAGTAAGATGCTATCTGTATATTGCAAGTGGTTGTTAGTCTTCTTCCCATGCTGCACCCACTTTCTTCTTTATACATACCCTCTCAGCTTATTTGCTTAACGTATGGATCGAATTAGTGTTGTGAAATGATACAACCCTGAGGCATACCTTTCCTGATTCTAAACCATGAGTTATCTCCCTGTTCTATGCAGATGACTGCTTTTTGGTCTGTGTGCAAATTTCACACGAGCAGTTCTCCTCTATCCTATAGGCCTCTTTGGGTTGGAATGGACTCGATGCCCATGGGTTTGGTTTTACAAGGATAATGCCTTGCATATTGGTCTTCGAGTGCCCCATTTCATGTCTGAGTTCTTTAATCTTCCTAGATTCATACTTTATGTAGTCTGCATTCTGTTAATGAACTGTTCTCAGCTGTTTCTTCTCGATTGAAATCATGCCACATCAGCAACTCCGAAGCCCCGGAAGCTTTCTTTCACCTGACTTTCAGGCCAACGCTACCGTGTGGGGGCAGCTTTTCCCCCGTTGTATTTTAAGGGCCTTCCAGCCTGAGGGCTTCACCGTCTGGCACTATCTCCAGGAACCTGCTGCTGCTAGCCCAACAGTTTGCACTGCCCGGGCCTTTTAGGCTTATGTAACCAGGTCTACCTTATTGTCTGAGTTCGTCTGGCAGCTCTGTTGAAATCTGTCCCCTGTGCTCGACTGTGCTGGTCTTTGAAACACTGGTAGGCTCCAGAGGCCGGGTGCGCATGAGCCACCACCACAGTGCTACAGACTGAAGTGGCCGGAGAGTTGTAGGACATGCAGCACCCTGCTCAGGGCCTTCAGATACTGTCATTGTCCCTTGGGTGAGAAAGGGGACCCTTGTATTTGTAGCCAGACTATTATCTTCACAGCCTTTCCACCTTGACATACTATTTGTCCCTGTGAAATCGGGTTCTAAAATGATCGGATTGTCTGATAGAGTTTCGAGCAAATATAGTGGCAATGAAGATTGTTTGCATGTCAATGGGACTCCTGTTGTCCACCAAGACTGTCTTGTAAGGTTGGAATTCCTCCTGGGAGCTGTTGTGTGGATGACTTTGTTAAGTGCTTTAACTTAACCTCTTTTTTCTGCCTCCCGCCACCTCCTTTATGGATAGTCTAACATAGTGCTTAAACAACAGAACTTTCCACAAGGGTGGGATTGTTATCTGTGGGAAATTGTCCAGTGTGATAGCCACTAGCCCGATGGAGTCCATAATCCCTTGACATGTGACTGATGTGTTCATAGAATGGAATTTTAAATTATATGTAGTTTTTATTGGCTTAAATACTCTGTCGCTACTGGCAGCCATGTTGGACAGCACAGTGATGGGATTTTAAGCATTTAAGACTACTGTTAATTCAAAAAATATATTCCTCTAATCTGATTGGTCATCTAATGTTCTTCCTCCCAGTGATTCTTTCTCAGTAATAGTTCCCTTTGTGATTGTTTCATAATATTCAAAGTCCGGAAGCATGCCCGATGGTTTTAAGCACTACGACAGTGCATTGAAAGATGCCCTTTCCTAAAGGCAAAGGGTCTCTCCTGGCACTTGTGTTATGACTTTATGACTTCCTTCCACAAGGAGAGCTTGAACTGCAATGAAACGACAACCACAACAAGCCCTCAGGGCCTGGCGTCAGCTCTGACTCACAGTGCCCCTGTGCTGCCCCGTGTTAGAAGGAACAGACATGTGAGTGTCTGAGTGCCTGACGTGCCAGCTGAGGGTTCACGTATAAGTTAACACGATGAGAAGGAAGCAGGACCACGAACATAAACAATGTAGGGAAAGCCAAAGGGCGGTCTCTTTAAGTACATAGAATTTAGATGACCACAGGTGTTTTCTATATGCTATCCTTCTGGAAATTACTATTTCATACAAGTTTCTGGTGGCACAAGTGGTTAATGCCCTTGACTACTAAAAGTTGGCAGTTCAAGTCTACCAGAGGGCCTGTAAAGAAAGAGGTGGGCATTTACTTCAGAAAAAACAGACATTCACTTCAGAGGACAGCACGGAAGCTACAGCTCAGGGAGAGGGACATGTCTGCTCAGAGCACACAAGAGCCAAGAACAGGGAGGAAGAGAGAGTGCAACACATCCTGCCCACCAAGCTCTGAGGACGATATTCCCGCTAAGAGCAGCCAATGCACAGAGCGGATCATAGGACCGGCCCCACTACGAGACATGATGTCCCTCACTGACCCATAGCGCTACAGGAGATAACACTGGAGACAGTGCAGGAATTGCACCCGATCTGATCTCACCACACCGAGGTGAAACACTAAGGGCCGGCAACAGAACAACAAGGGGAACAGAGCAATGAAGTCCTCAGGGAACACCAAAAATAGACTTTGGGGCCAGGATGTGGCACCCCAT